TCTATTTATTCATCCATGAATAACGTAGACTGAAGATGCTATGCAAATTACTGCAATTCAAATTCCATTTTCTATAAAAGTCATCAACCTTCAATCAGCAACACTCTGTGTCTTGTTTTCCTCTGTGGAATTTCATGGGTCTGCCCTTAACGTAGTGCTTTATTAAGTGCTTCATCTGAGTAATGTTTTCCATCATAGGGGACCCAAATACTACATTTTCAATAGAAACTTTAATTCACCTTGTAAGTATTTGCCTTTAACTACATTGTTGTGTGGCAACAGTATTTCCCCTTTACATTGAGCCATGGCATCTTAAACTCACATGTAGTCAGTCACTTGATCAGAAAGGAAGAAAGAAAGAAAGAAAGAAAGGAAGAAAGAAAGAAAGAGAAAGAGCAACATCCCTAGTGTATCTTTCTTTTAAAATTGTGTAATATATTTTATATTGTTATATTAAGGATTTATATTAATGGTTAGGTACCTTGTTGCTAAAATTAAGTTCTATATCATTTCATCTAGTTGTAACCTCACTATCAGAAAGGGACTACAGAATATGTAAGAATATGAACTTATTGAGCACAAAAGAACACAAGCCCTTTAAAATATTTTCCAGTTGTGTTCAACAATTACTCACTAGTGTATTATATTTCATGATGCCATGGACTATATGGACATGTGTGTGACTTTGTGCACATTATTCTTCCTAATGTCTCTAACTACTTAGAGGAAAGAACAGTTCCATTCTTTAGTTTTCAGCAAAATAATTTTTTCTAAGTACACTAGTATTCAGCATTGACCACTGTTAATGCTCCTTTACCACTCCTTTGCAAAATGGATGATACACAACACTCTCTTCATTTTGGCCATGTTATCAGAACAGAGCATAACTAACACATTTTCTATCCATGTAATATCACCATACTTAGAAGTATAATAACTCTCATACTAGAAAGCCAGAAGTGCCTAAGTTCTTGATCCATGTGGCCCCAGAAAGATCTCCATGGCTTTGCTTACAATGTATAGAGTTGTCATGACACTGATCATAGACACAATTAGTCCAGTGAACCTGGATATCCAGCAAGTCCGGGGTCTTCAGAAGAGTTGAAAAAGCCTCTACCAGGGCTGCCATCTAGAAACAGTCTTTCCTGGTTCAGCATGATTCTTTTTCTCTGTTAATTTGTTGTATCCATAATACCAGATCTGTTTGAAGGGAAATGAGTTAAGATTGGATGTGTGAACAAGGTCTCAGCTGAGGAGCTTCAAGGAAAATAGAGAAATGTATACTTTGTCTAAATTTTCTCTGAGCACATTTAAACAATCATCCTCAATACCCCATTATCATGGGGAAAATATGCCTACAACTTCTAACTAGCACTTTCCTTGCTTAGAGGACCAAATTAAACGAGACTTCACAGAAACACTCTGGCAATACTCATAATCATAACTCTCTACCACAAAGAAAAGAAACAATACAGAAATGTCCTTCTTTTTCAATGTATCCATAAAAAAGCAGACACTGTTCTGAATTGCACAGGATTACCTTATATAAAGGACTACATTCATGTATAAAGCCAAAAACTGCCTAAGCCATATCTTGTTATTTGCATATATCAACCTCAGAAACCACAAGTGTCTCACAGTTGCTTTAAAGTAATGTGCTTTTCCGAAGACTAGAAGTAGCCCAAGCTTGAGAGTGGAAAAGACAATGGAGTTTTGGGTGAAGATTTTCAGCTTTGTTCTGATCACTGTCACAGGTAAGACAGACTCTAGTTCAGAATGGAGCTTTCTCTGGAGAAGTTTAAGTTTAAGATAAACTACTTGTCATTTTGTTTCTTCTAAATGTTGGATAGCGTCAAATTATTTGTGTATCTCTATGCCTACTAAGCTCTAACTCTCTTTTCTTCTTTTTCCTGATAATAGCATCCTGGGGACAAGTTGTGCTCACCCAATCTCCAGAATCCATGGCTGCATCTCAAGGGGAGGAGGTCACCATCTCTTGCATCTCAAGTGTAGGCACCAGTTACTTGCATTGGTACCAACAGAAGCCAAAAGCTTCCCCTAAACTCCTAATTTATGAAGTATCCAAACTGGCTTCTGGAGTCCCTGCTCGCTTTAGTGGCAGGAGGTCTGGGAGTTCTTACTCTCTCACAATCAGCAGCATGCAGGCTGAAGATGCTGCCACTTACTACTGCCAGCAGGGAACTAGTTTCCCATTCACACAGTGTTACAGACAGGAACAAAAACCCTTTATCGAACTAATTAATGTTCAGCTGCTTCCTCCTAGAGATGAAATATGTCCAAGGGTTTTAGTGATGTGTTGCAGAATGTCTCAGATTTTCTTCAGTGAGGTTTTTTATATCATATGTATGTGCACATACACACACACATACATATACACCTTTTCCTAATTTTAACATTTCTTGTATTGAAACTTTTCATGCAAATATGGTAGGAACAATATCAATCATACACTTGGGGATGAAAAGGATCAACTGCACTTTAAACTCAAATCTTTGCAGCTCTGGTTTAGAAAGAGTGGGTTGACAGACCTATCAGGCAGTCTGCTGGACATGTGAACCAGGTGTACTTTGAACTTCATTGTCAACCATATAAATATTATACATATTTAAGCCAGGTCTCCAAGTCGCATGAATTACAAAAGGCTGTCAGTTTGATAATCCCAAAGTAAACAGCATTTGGAAACTCAGAGAAGTTGTAGTGTAGATCATTTATCTGACTCAATCTTAATTCTTGACCCTGATCAAAATTAGAGACACATTATATGGACTACTTAGTTTTCCACATTGAGAAAGACAGTGTTAATTATCACATTCCTTTGTATAACTTTATAGTGTCCAGTTTGATGTGAACTTATGTGAGCCCATGTCAGTTTATTGTGCTGGTGTCAGTACATATCATTAGTCAATGAACAAAGAGAATTTTTCACACTAGAAATTCCAGTGTCCTATATATAGTTAATTAGTGCAAATTTTTCATTTATCCCAAGTCTCCATTACACATATTTGGGCTGTGAGATCTTTCTGTTTCTCACAAGTACCCAAAGTTCCAAGTTATATCCGATATTTATTGGAACATAGTTCCTCAGCATAGTTCAGATTCCTTTGAAAAGTATCTATTTTAATCAAAATCAAGAATAAACAAATCAAGGGCAAAGACTGGAGTGACTCATTAAAATAATGGATTGTATTCTTGCTATTGTAATGCAAAGAAATAACTGTAATACTGTGCTACTTAGTCTTGTCTGCTCTACATACACATCAAATAAATAACTTGAAGTGCCCACAAAGAGGAAGTTAAAGCTAATAACTCTGAAAGAAGGAACTAGATTCTTTAAAAGGAGAGAAAAAAAACAGACTAGGAATGAGTTCTCAAAACACTACCTATAAACAATTTAGATGAAATTGTCTTGATTGCACATAATCTCAATATCCCAGGGCTGTTCTTTAATAAAAAATGTCATTTCTTTAGTGTGTATGTGTGTGTGTGTGTGTGTGTGTGTGTGTGTGTGTGTG